CAAGGAAACCATGTTACCTGATGCTTTCTCAATTTTGCACTAAAGAATCCAGCAAGATGCAATTTTCCATCGCGCATAGCATACATAGTGGCGCCTAGTCCTCTCTTACTCACTGAGCCATCAGTAACAACCCACAGTTCATCAGATGGTATAGGTAGGATAATGGTCTTGTTTGAGGACAGTTTCTCCTGAGCATTGGTAAAATGTTCCCGCAATTCATCAGTCCACGGCACTTTGTCTTTTGACTGCATTCCTCCTATTGAGTTCTCCAGTGGAGTAAGAATGTCTGAACAATTTGGAATCACCCGACCAAGAACTTTGTACGCTCCGAGAAAAGATCTAAGGGCTTTTACAGTTTCAGGAACACTACATGAAGATAAAGTGGACACCTTGTGTTTGCTGGCAGATATCTTTCCTTCTGTCCAGTTCCATCCAAGTATTGTGGTTGAGCGAGGGCATACTATGGTTTTTGTTGGAGACAAATGAAGTCCACTTTGTGCAAGGGACTTGAGTACACATTCCCAATTATGAAGTAATTCTTCCACTGTTTGTCCTCCACAATATAGGTCATCTGCTAGTTTTGCTACACAGCCCTCTTGTAAACTGTCACCAAGTACTCTGCACATGAGTTCTTCCAGAGCTGTTTCAGATCCAGGCATGCCCATTGCGCATCTGGTATACACACGTATTCCTCGATAGGGTGTTACAATTCCACAGTACTTTAAGGATGGTCTTGAAAGGGGCATCTGGTAGAATGCACATGTCAAGTCAGAGACAATAATGTATTTCCATCGACCAATAGTGCGAAGTGTTGAATCGACATCTGGCAAGAGCGACGGCTGTGGCTTACTGTAGCGTCCCACATCTTCAAAGGCTGTGACAAGTCTGTAGACTCCGTTAGGTTTTTTGACAAGGAAGGAGGGGTTAAGGTATTCAACAGATATATTCACTTCTTCAGGTTTTCTAAGTACACCCAAGGATTCGAGTTCATCGCACTTTTGTTGCAATTCTTGTAATTTGTCTCTGGAATATTGTGGCATCCTTCCTTTTCGTTGTGGGGGTTGGAACAGGTCCCATGTTGATATGACACTCAAACTTGCCAGCCGCTCCACTGTACCCTTTAAAATTAGGATCAAATATAGAGTCATAATTCTGAAGTAGCTTGTTAAATTTATGGCGATCAGTTGTTGTCAGAATATTGTCCGGATCTACACTGACAGTATCTGAATTGAAATTTGATGATCCTGATGATCTGGAGGTGATGGGTATGGGATCTGTTGTAGACATGTAGTTTGTACGCTCATCTAAATCTGTGAACTCTGTAGAAGTATGGTGAAGTTGGCACAAGTGGTCGTTTTTGAGGATTAAGTGGGGTTCATTAGTGTCATTCAAGAGTCGAATTCTACCCCCTACAGCTTCGACTAAAGTTGGTTTAGGCCAGTTCAAGAGTTTGTTATGATGTACTCGTGGTTCCATTGAAAGAGTGGATTCGGGGTGTAGAGCATCAGGAATCTTGAGTTCTAGGTATGTTCCAGGCCAAACAACTGTTGTTTTTGGTTCTGCCCTAAGAATGAAGGCTTGAGCACGGCGTACATGACGGGGAGTTGTAGGACCGTCATCAGGTAGGTAATGAATAACAGTGGAATCCCTAATGGTTACTTGGTTTTTGGAGGGGCGTATGCAAATGTCATTGCACATCATGAATGGCATTCCTGCCAAAATGTCGACATCTAATTCGTTGACAACTAGGACATCAAGGTGAAGTATTTCACTGTCGCGTGATAGGGTTAAGTGTACTTCCCCAACACTGTCGAGTGCTGTCAAACCATCAGCTTGGAGAGCATTTTGTAATGTTCTTTTAATAGGGGCTCCAATAAACTCTGCAAATGCTGTCTTTATCATGCTTATTTCTGCACCAGAGTCAATAGTTAAATACACAGGATGATGCTCATAAAATACTTTGATTTAAGCTGATTTTGTAGTGCTAACACGGCGGGTTGAGGGTGTAAATGACTGATCACCATCGTCGAATATGAGATCGATGCTCATGAATGTCATCTGGGGGCTCTTCATTGTCGGAGTCGTCTGCTTCCACCAGTCGTCTTGACTTGGTCATAAACCGTTTATCTCCCTCCGGCAGAAATTTGCATGTACCGAGAAAGTGGTCAAACCTGACCCGTCCTGCCTGTTTACATAATGGACACTCTCGTTTTACTGTTGGAGTGAGGGACTTCTTATTTGAAGTTTTTGTCTGTTTGATAAAGGCAGTGCGTAGGACTTTGGAGTCATGAGATGCATGAATTTCATCGAGTAAGGTATCAAGAGCTTGTGAAATTTCTGGTTTAATGGAAGCCAAAGTTTTGGAACGTAGTTCTGTGCCATATCGTTGCTTGACTAATGCAGGGAGGTCCTTATGTATAAGTCTCAACCAGGTGAGTATTACAAGATTCTCAAGTGTTGGAGAAAGTTCCTCATCTGCTTCCGGTATGTCACCATGGTGGCTGATGTTTCCATTAGGAGTAAGTAGATTGTCTTCTATAAAACTCATAAGGCGTTGATATAGATCCTCTGGTCTCTCCCCTGCCTCCAAATGAATGTTGTCGAAGTCCAAAAAGTGACTTCCGGTTGATTGGAATCCATAATGTTGTCTGATTGATTGCCATATTGCATTGACAGAAGTGGAGTTTTTCACAATAGTGTTTCTGGATACCACAGGGCAAAAGTTAGCTATCTGACCCAGCATCAGTTCAGGGTGAGTAACTTTCTGTGCTGCTGTGCGTCTGGCATTCTCAGCTACGTTTTCATCGTCATCTTCAAATCCTCTTAGGGGAGTTCCGGGTGTCTTTTTAAGCCAAGTGAACCCATTGACGAGGAACGGTGCAAAATTCGTATCTAGTGAAAGTGTGTATTGGAGATTTTGGCGCCAAGCTTCGAACGAAGTAATGGTTTCATTCTTTGTTAATGGCCATTGTTTCGGTGCACGTGTTGTAGCCATGTCAATAGTTTCAGATGAGTTATGTGACGTTTGAGGTTTCTGATATGCACAGTTCGGGAATAACTGAGTTGTTTGTATGCACTTTCGCTTTGGCAATTGTGTTTATTCACATTCGCATGAATTAAAATTGTTGTCCGCTCTTCGGGTTGTGGAATAACGTATACCGCTGCCACCACGCCAATATGGAAAACACCAAAAGCCGTACAAACAAATCAAAACCTTTATTACCGTCTTCCTTGGAAGACGGTATTGTATAGTTGAAGTTTTTTACAGTCTTCGGACTATGCATTTCCTCTCTTTTGTGATTGGTAGAAAATGCATGATGAGAAAATTTTCAATTATTTCATTGGTTGAAATGCTGTTCAAGGCAAGGGAGATAACTTTCTGATGATCTAATTTTCGTACGACTTAACAATTTTGCAAGATTTTCAATCTTAAAAAAAAATGACAAAACGAACAACAAAATCAGCAGTAATTAATTCCTAATAACATGATTTATTGTATAGCAAAAAATAAAAAGATCTCTTTAACTTCATTATAAATAAAATTTGATTTTTATTGCTTGCAGGCTTTACAAGTTGTTATTATTCTTTTCCCCTTCCTTGTTTGAAGAAGGAAATGGAATCAGCCGAGGTTTGCCGAAAGCTCTCGGCGAGTCAAAGTTTACGGAGATGACCGAGCGACAACCGTGGTAGGGCTAATGCCAGTAAAAAGCTAATGTAGAAATACAAAATCAAGAAATTCAAAAGAATTATACGGCCTGATAGATGTAGATCAGTTTTACAGTTTAAGATTGTCGCTAAAGACGGGAAGCTTTTTAAAAAAGCTCTACTTGTTTAGCTGGTTACAACATGTGGATGAATTCAATACACAGAGGAAAACAGTTCGTACACAAATTCTACATTTTAGATAAATCGTTCCTAAATGATTCGTGATACAACATAACATAATGGCGCATGGTATATGAACTTTTCATAAAAAGTCATACATGTTATATATATACATGTATATAGCTATGTTACGGAAGCGTATTAGTGCCACTCGGACACTTTATTATTTTTTTAATTTCTACACTTTAATCTGTAAAATTTACACTTTAATCTGTAACATTTACACATTAATCTGTGAATTTTACACTTTAAAGTGAAAAGTTTACACTTTAATCTGTAATTTTTACACTTTAATCTGTAAAATTTACACTTTAATCTGTAACATTTACACATTAATCTGTAAATTTTACACTTTAAGATGTAAAATTTACATATTAAAGTGTAGAAATAAAAAAATAGAATGAAGTGTCCAAGTAGCACTAATATGCTTCCGTACTATCTAGATGTGACTCGATACTATCAACTGGATATTTTATCGGCACAACATTTAGCTAATGTTTTGATTAAGACCGATATGCATACATGTATGAAAACAAACAAGGAAGCAGACAGGACCAGCCTGAAGGGCGTTATTACTACAGAAATAGCTTAAGGTACTAAGAACTGAGTTTGCTTAATGATAACCCCCCCCCCCCCGGCTTCCCATACTATTATAACGACTAATTCCTTTTTTTCCTGGGAGACATGAAATATGTGTCAGATAATAAAAATAAATTAGAAGGTGAACAATGGCATTAGGTAATTAAAAAATATGTAAAAGTGTCATTAAATTTTGTATAATGGTATAGGAGGAGTTGCGGATAAGAGATGGGTACCCTTTAACATTATAGAAAGAATGGCAGTGTCCATGTTTTGTTATTGGAAAACCGAAATATGTGTCCGATCAAAAAGTAACATAGGAGGTGCTCATTCGCACTATTTAACAAAGATTTGTGAAAGTTTCATTAAACCAAGGGTTTCGCATAACAAAACATGACATTGTCATTCTTTCTATAATATCGAAGGGTATCCATCTCTTTTTCGCAAATCCTCTTACTTCACAAAAACATTTTGTTTTTGTTTTTTTTTATTCTATTTTAAAAATGAATGCTTAAAAAGATGATCTTTAATTTTAGGAATAGTTTGCATAATAGATGTATTTATGAAACCTCACATGAAAGTAACAGCATACAAGGGTCAATATTTCCTGCACGAAACGCCTAATGTTAGTTGTACAGAGGGGTATTATTTACGAGGAGGAGCCCCTACATGTGAAAAACGGGGATGGGCTTTTCCAGGGATGATGTTCCATTGCGAAGGTAAGAATTCATACATTTTAAAGCCCCCTAAAGATTTAAATTGATAAGACCTTGTTACATGTATGTTCCCTAAACGAAGTTGGGGAACATATTGTTTTTACTCTGTTTCTTATTACATGTATTAAGGTCTTTCGTCTTCAGCGGAAGACCCTCTTGCTTTACGTAGGTTTTTTTTCCACTATTTTTATTAAGGTCTTCCGTCTTCAGCGGAAGACCTTGTTATTCCACTTATTAAGGTCTTCAGTCTTCAGCGGAAGACCTTCTTGTTTTTCTTAGGTTTCTTTTCCACTATTTTTATTGTTTTTTTCTTACCGATTTTGTGCGCGCGATTTCTCGAGAACGGTTCGATCGATTTTCGTGAAACTTTCAGGTCTTATAGAACATCAAAAAATCTAGAATTTTTTTTATTTTGATGACGTCACTTCCGGTTCGGAGTTTTCTGCGATTAAGTGAATTTTAGAGGGTCACTTTGTCCGGCAGATTTCTCAAAAAAAGTCTAAACACAGAAGCATGAAAATTTCATTGATACTTAGAGCAACCTTTTGAGAAGTGCACTTAGTATATCATAACTACTGGATGTACGAAACGCCGACGCTCGCTATGGTCCGAAAATTGTCCTATCATAAAATTAAAAAATTCTGACATCTTTTCTTCAATATCTCTTTACCTAAAAATATTTTGTTAAAACATATAAAACAAAAGAAGTGTAGAATTACATGATCTTTTAAATGATATCTCGAAAAAAGGGCTGGCTCCTACAATTAAGGGCCACAAGGGGCTGAAAATTTTTCCTTAATATCTCAAAAAGTATCGAGAAATTGTAATATGTTTAAGAAGCAAAGTTGTTCAAAATGTTCAGCTGAATCTAATGGGGTCGTCAAAATTCGTCCGGTGACGTCACTTCCGGTAAATCTTAAGTAGTCGGAAATCGCGTATTTTCTCCGTTCTTTACAAGATTTGGGGTAACATCTGTCACTGGGAACATAAAATTCAAATTTCCGTCCGTCGTCGTCACTTCCGGTCAAACCGGAAGTTGCAAAAAATTGCTAATTTTTGCATTGATTAACATACATTTGGAGGATTTAAACCATTTTGGATGTATCTATTCTTTTTTTCTAAAGAGTGAAAGTTTCTTCCGGTCTAACAGGATGGAAGACCTACTCGTTACCTTGAACGAGCTTTGCTCTAGTTATTCTTAGGTTTCTTTTTCACTTTTATTAAGGTCTTTCGTCTTCAGCGGAAGACCTTCTTTTTTCCACAGTTTTTATTTTTTTTTTTCTTACATATTTTGTGCACGCGAATACTCGAAAACTCGAAAAATCGATTTTCATGAAATTTTCTGGACTTATAGAACAACAAAAAATCTAGGTATATATTTTTTGGTCACTTCCGTTCGGAGATTTCTGGAATTTTGTCATTTTTAGAGGGTCACTTTGTCCGGCAATGTTCGCAAAAATCAATGAAGATAGAAGTGTGAAATTTTCAGGAATGCTATAGCAACCTTTGGAGAAGTGCCTTTAGTATATCACAACTATCGAAAGTACGAAGCGGCGACGCTCGCTATGGCCCGAAAATGATCCTATCAAGAATTTCAAAAATTTTAACACCTTTTCTACGATAACTTTCTATCTAGAAATATTTTGTTTAGACATGTAGTACAAAAGAAGTGTAGAATAACACGATCTTTCAACTAATATCTCCAGAAAAGGACTGACCCCAAAAATGAAAGGCCTACAGGGGCCGAAAGTTTTTCTTTTATATCTCAAAAAGTATTGAGAATTTGTAATACGTCAAAGAAGCAAAGTTGTTTGAAATGTCAAGCTTAATCTATTGGAGTCGTCAAAATACGTCCGACATCGTCACTTCCGGCCAAACCGGAAGTAGTCGAAAAACGCGTATTTTTGCCGTTCTTGACAGGTTTTTGGGTAACACATGTCTATGGGAGCATAAAATTAATTTTTTTTCCGTCGTCGTCACTTCCGGTCAAACCGGAAGTAGCAGGAAATTGCTTTATTTTGCATTAATTAACATGGATTTAGAGGATTCAAACCATTTTTGGGCGTTATTTCTCATTTTTGTTAAAAATGAAAGCTACTTCCGGTCAAACAGGATGGACGACCTACTCTTTGCATTGCAACGAGCTTTGCTCTAGTTACTTTTGGTTTTTTTTCCCTTACCGATTTTGTGTACGCGATTTTTTTTTCGAAAACGGCCCAATGGATTTCCATGAAACTTTCTGTACTTATGTACCATCACTTGAACCTTAAGCGTTTTTTTTCTGTTTTGATGACATCACTTCCGGTCCGGAGTTATTAGCACTTTAATGATATTTTAATGGTCGTTTTGTCCGCACGATTTCTCCTAAACGGCTTTAGATAGACATATGATACTTTCAGGTATGGTAGACCTATGTCTGTAGATTTTCGGAATGTATTTCATTTTTATCGGAAGCATATAGAACAAAAGAAGTGTAGAATTCTGAGATCTTTCAAAACGTATCTTGTAAAAAGGGCTGGCCCCTAAAATTAAGACCTAGAGGGGCCATAAGTTTTTTCTTTATATCTCAAAACGTGTTCAGAATTTGTTATACGTAAAAGAAGCAAAGTTGTTCAAAATGTCAAGCTGAATCTATTGGCGTCGTCAAAATACGTCCGGCATCGTCACTTCCGGCGAAACCAAACAGGAAGTAGTCGGAAAACGCGTATTTTTGCCATTCTTGACAAGTTTTTGGGTAACATATGTCTCTGTGAGCCAAAAAATTAATTTTTCGTCCGTCCTCGTCACTTTCAGTCAAACCTGAAGAGCAGAAAATGGCTTTATTTTGCATTAAATAACAAAGCTTTAGAGGATTCAACCCATTTTTGGGCGTTATTTCACATTTTTGTTAAAATTGAAAGCTACTTCCGGTCAAACAGGACGGAAGACCTACTCGTTGCTTTGCAACCAGCGGGTTCCAACGTTTTCGACTTCTGACATGATATTCTGTTTCAAAATTGACCTCATTAGGGTTTTTTCCTCACATCATAAACAGTAATAAAGTTGTACGATAGAATTTAACTTCAGTCCTACTTTAAAAGTCAATATTTGTTACTAATTAAGCCAATTTAGGCGTCAAACTCTATGCGACGATCGGAGTGGCGGTTTTTATGCCTTGCGGGGTGGCAGCATGTCCGAGAAATAAGGATTATTTTTTCATTCAGCGTTCTCCTGAATTCGACTTAGGTGGAACCTTGCATAATGTAAGGAAATTTCAATAGTATAAACAAGATGACATGGTCATTATAGCAAGATCTCACGCGCATGCACGTGCGCTTCGCTCTGATTGGCTGAAACAAAAGTCTCAATATCTTTCTTGTTTTACGTCATAATAATTTGAAATTTTGAACTTAGTCACACATTATGAAGAACCACAGCATGGTTTATAAGTATTTTTATGAAAGCACGTACATGCACGTGTGCTGGCAAGAGCGCGCACGTGCAACATGTGAAATTACCAATATAATGGATGAAGCCTTAACTTTTCTATTTCTTGGTGGAATTTTTTGAAACTCACAATGCATGAATATATTAGTAGTATCAACAAGATGACATGGTCAAAATAGGAATATCTTACGCGCATGCACGTGCGCTTCGCTCTGATTGGCTAAAACTAAAGTCTCAATATCTTTCTTGTTTTACGTCACAATCCTTTGAAATTTTGAACATAGTCGTACATTATGAAGATCTACTGCATGATATATAAGAACTATTATGAAAGCATGTAAATTTACGTGTGCTGCAATCTGATTGGCTGAAACTTTAAATGCCTATAACTTTGTTGTTTCTCAACAGAACAGGATGAAATTTAGAATAGAAATAATGGATTCCTACATGATGCTACTATCAAAATTAAATGCAAGGACGTGCTTGCATGTATTTGCGCAAGCGCAATGCGAAAAATGAGCAATGTAGTTGAAAAATGATAACATTTATATTTTTATGACTTTTTATTGATTTTTGGAATATAAAGATATGTTAATAGTTTAGACAACATGCCATGATCACCTTGCATGTGCATGCACGTACGTTTGCATGCAATGCGTTAAAGGGCAAAAAGTTGATATTGTAGCTTTTAAAATTCTTTTATGAAATCCTGCGATAACTGAGCATATTAAAAAAAGGTTTTAAAGGAAATTGGCACAAAAAGGGAGTTGGGGAGCGTTTGGGGAACATCTCTTACGGTCCCCGTTACAATTAGAACTAGTTTAAGCTGTTATTTACTTGCATTGAAATATATAGATTCATTTACTACCCGGTTGAAATCATATCGTAGATTTTGTGCATATAAGATGGCTTATTCAAAATTTCTTTTATATTGTACAAGCAATCTTAAAAGGACACATAATTATGCAACAAAAAATAATTCATGGATTGGAATAAAATATCGTTTGTAAATGATACAAAAGGCTAATTTCTAAAATATCTTTAAAATGTTAAATTTGTTTTCCTTTTTGTCATCTTCATATTTCTGTATACATATTTGTTATTTTATAGGAAATTATTACAGAGAATTTTTGTTTTGAATGAATATTTATACTTTAAATTGAGTTTTATGAAGAGACTTGCTTTACATTCGACAGCTGACTTTTACATTTTAGTAATTGGAGTCTCTGTTTAAATTGTAGAAGTCGTAGATTGTAAAAGTAAGTCTCTTCATAAAACTCCATTAATAGCTACCAGCATCATTTACATGCATAAAAAGACTAATGGTGTCTTCTACCTATTCCCACTATTTTAAAATCTCAATTTCACCAATTCCCACTTGCAAACTAGAGATACTGTGAGCAACGAGCACACTAAATGATACCCCCGCCTCCCATATGGTCATAATGGCAAAGTCCATGTTTTGCTGTGGCCAGGAAACCCAAAATATGTGTCGGATCAAAAAGTAAAATAGGAGATCACAATGGCAATATGTAATAAAGATTCTGTAAAAGTTTTATTTAATTTCACTCAGTGGTATAAGAGGAGTTGCGGATAAGACATGGGTACCCCAGAGCGTAACACACAGACGGACGGACGTACAGCTAGACGGACGGAGAGTTCATTCTACCTATTCCCACTTTTTGAAAATCAGGTAGGAAAAGGTAAGATTTCAAATGGGAATAGGTGGAATTTTTGTGTAAATAAATAATTAACTATGAAAACATACAATTACTGTATAAACAATAATTAATGAACACCAATAGAGGTCAGGACTGGTATACCCGGCTATTTACTTTTTAGAAAACGGATAGCAATAGGTCACCTGAGTTTTCGTCCGTCGTCGTGTATCGTTCGTCGTGTGTTAACATTTGAACATTTTCAGCTTCTTCTCTGCAACCACTCAACCAATTTCCACCAAATTTGGCATAAAGCATCTATGGGTGAAGGGAAACAAAAATTGTGATATTCATGGTCCCTGCCCCCGTGGGGCCTGAGGGGCGGGGCCAAAACCACCAAAATTAATGCAATCCTTCAAAATCTTCATCTTTACTCCTGGACAAAAAGCAGTCAAACTGTTAGCATGAATGTAATAACCATTGAGTCCTGTACCAAAATTGTGAAAATCATGGCCCCAGGGTCAGGGGTTCTGGTGTTAGAGCGGGGCTCCATTGATTATATAGTGAAAATGCATTGTTTCTTTGAAAATCTTCTTCTCCGCTCTTGAGTATTAAATAAACTAACGAAGTACATAGTTATGATGACCAAGAGTGCCTCTACCAAAATTGTGAATTTTATGGGCCCAGGGTTTCTGGTGTTAGGGCGGGGCTCTATTGATTATATAGTGAAAATGCATTATTTCTTTGAAAATTTTCTTTTCTGCTCCCGGGTATTAAGTAAACTAAGTTCATAGTTATGATGAGCAAGAGTGACTCATCCAAAATTTTGAATTTAATGACCCAGGGTCAGGGTTTCTGGTGTTAGGGCGAGGCTCTATTGATTAAATAGTGAAAATGCATTATTTCTTTGAAAATCTTCTTCTCTGCCCCTGGGTATTAAATAAACTAACTAAGTACGTAGTTACGATGAGTAAGAGGTAAATCTAAGAGGGAATGAGTCTTATGACTAAGATCTGTCTTAAGACCGAAAATTATCATAAGATTGCACACCTTAACTGTTTCACAGAACTGTCATATCTCATGATAATCTTAAGATCTCTCAAAATCTTAAGACAACTAGATACATGTCTTAAGTCTAATGTGAAACTGGTGATAGTATATATTTTGGCTAAAAACCTAAGGATATTTAAAGATAAACGGTTTTTAGTGATAGAACAGTCCTTTGGACCATATTAGGCCAGATGGAACGATGACCCCCCCCCCCCTTCCGCAAAAAATAATAATGAAAAATAATTTGCCTAAAATGTACCTATGTTTTTCCACTTTATTCATTTTAATGCTTGTACATGTGTCCCCTCCCAACTGAAAGTGTACTCCACCCCACCCCAATGCTTCTTAAGGCTTCTTAAGGTCATGTATATAAATTTATGGAAAATCCATGTATCATATATAACTTTATTCAAATTGTTTCATTTCAATTTCATAGCCCGCAAGAATATCACATTATCAAATTATCTTTGACCAAGCATTGCTAATTTGAGCAATTTTTAAAATGACTAAACTAATTCCAGATCCTGTGTTCGAAATTCGTGCAGTTTATTTATTGATAAGGTACATTAATATCTTTTTTTATAAATAGAAATACTATAGTACATAAATTTCGTCAGTAACTACTATTTTCTAAGCAAGAAGACATTTAAACAAATTATATTTAATTATTTTCTACGGTGATGAAATTAATTCAAATTTAATTTGTTGACCCAACCTCCGACACACTCAAACACACCCCGATTACATTAAAGTTTGGTGCAATAAAATGTTTGGGTTTTTTTCTAGGGTATATCCGCAAAATTAAGGAAAGGCAACTAAACTTCGGGCATACATGTTCTTAACAAATATTCCCTGTGAAATTGAAGAATGGAATTCGTCTTAAGATTTGTCTTAAGATTTCTTATACTTAAGATAGTTTTGTAAAACAGCATTGACAAATCTTAGGGCCGGTACACACGGTAAGGCTTGCCTTACAAGTCTAAAACCTCAAGTTTTGCAGGACATACGGCTCTCCTGTCCACATGCTAAGGCAAGACTTACAATATTATAAACAACATTTACATAAATTCCATGTGTTTAACCATAAATTATGCGCTTTATTAAACGAAATAATAGATTACTTTCTAGGACTTTGAAATAGTAAATACTGACCAGTGCATCCACTCTTCTTAACAAAGAAGAGGAGTTTAACTAAAGTATTTGCGGATATTTTTATTATCTTATTCGAATATACTCTGTGTTTTCTTCAATATATCAATGTGCATGGTTTTATAAAAATAGATGGAACTTTGGGTAAATGGTTTTCATTGGTTAAGAAATAAATGTCAGCTACATTTGTAAGTCTTGTATTAGGAATAGAGCAGTGTTCTATTCCTAAGGGCCGGTACACACGGTAAGGCTTGCCTTAAAAGTCATGAAACTTAAGTTCTAGCCTTACCTTGTGTACACCTTCATACACGTTTTTTGGAGCCTTACAAGTCTGACTTTGGAATAGAACACTGCTCTACTGTAAATCACTTTTATTCGCGAGAACTTTATTTTCGCGTAATTACGCGAGACAACATGTTCGCGAAAATTTCATTCTCGCGCTTAATAGAATTCCTTAAGATTATATAGAGCAATGACCACAATTCGTGAAATTTTGTCTCGCTACTGAAGAGTCAATGGCTATCTCGCGAAAATAAGGTGTCGCGAAAATTAAGTGATCTACAGCTATTTCTTAATACAAGACTTAGCTGACATTCATTTCTTGACCAATGAAAACCATTTACCCAAAGTTCAATCTATTTTTATAAAACCATGCACGTTGGTATATTGAAGAAAATACAAGGTATATTCGAATAAGATAATGTGACTATCTGCAAATACTTTAGTTAATCTCCTCTTTGTTAAGAATTGTGGGTGCACTGGTTGGTAAAACTATTTCAAAGTCCTAGCTAGTAATCTATTATTCCGTTTAATAATGCACACTGTTTATAGCTCAAAGACACTTGGAATTTATGTAAATGTTGTTTATAATATTGCAAGTCTTGCCTTAGCGTGTGGACGTGAGAGCCGTACGTCCTGCAAAACGTAAGGTTTTAGACTTATAAGGCAAGCCTTAAAGTGTGTACCGGCCTTAAGTCAGACTTGGAAGGCTCTAAAAAACGTGTATTAAGGGTGTACACACGGTAAGGGTAGTACTTAAGTTCCATGACTTATAAGGCAAGCCTTAACGTGTGTATCGGCCTTTATGATTGTCATAAGTCAGATCTTAAGATCTATCTTAGGACAAATCTTACGATAGTTTTGTGAAGCCCAGCCCTGCAGTGACGCTGCTTTGGACACTTTGACGTTATCATCCGTGCGCCGTAAGGCGAAACAATACATAACACAAAATGTCATAATTTGTTTAGTTATGCATATATCTGTTCGAAATTTGCTATGTTTATTCATAATATACGTTCTAAAACGTAGTTAAAATTTCAGAGGGGAGTGAAGTTTATTTTTCACACTAGACAACGTGTCCACGATTTTATCGGACAACCCTCGTATACCCGTCCACAATTCAAGGAAGTGTTCATTAATCATTGTTTATACAGTGATTATATGTTTTCATTGTAAATAAAATTCCACCTATTCCCGCATAAAATCTCACCTTTTCCCATTTGATTTACAAAAAATGGGAATAGGTAGAATAAACCAGACTAATGGAACATCTGGAAAAGTTCTTGTGCATATTGTTTCAGCAAAAACGCAAATGATTAATACCGGTACTTATCTTTGTTTTCATTTTACAGCGTCTTATCATTGTAAATTGCCAAAAGATCCCCATGCGATACCACATCTTCTCAAAGCATACAATTATTGGGACGGAGTTTCTCTGGAATACGGAGACAGTGTGTACTTAGAGTGCCAACAAGGATACAGACATAAAAGTTTCTCCAAAGTCTCTTGTGGTCTAGGTGGCAATTTAGAACAAAACTTAACTCAAGTTATATGTGAAGGTAACTCTTTCATCTTAATTTATCAACTTTTAAACCACTACAATGCAACTTGCATATAAGGATAAATAACACAGACTTTTTTTAGAATTCAGCAACATTTCTCAAAGATTAATTTTCAAATAGATAACCTGGCATGCACCAGAATCATGAAACATTTTAGGTCTAAGTCAAAATCGTTAAATTATATTTATAAATGTGGTAGAAGTAAAGCAGACCCAAATTAAAAACGTTTCAATATTGATTTACAAAAGTGCAAATATTAAGATTAATTCATTGATTGAAATATTTTACGGGCGATTGAAAATTTGACTATGTCTAAATCTGTTTCATGACCCCGGACTTAATTGACTTTTCCAGGTTAAGTGGAGCATTTTATAAGATTTTGTCACAATTTCAAAAAAAAAAATTACTATATATATGCAAAGTTTTGTATAGAATTAAATAGGGTATTATACAAAGTCGCAAAGTTGGCATGGTTGTAATAAGCATAAAGTGTGAAATTCTTGTCCCCATGCTTAGGGATTTGGGGGTCGTATTATAAAGGATACTTAAGTCTTAGAGCATACTCATGTGCTTCTTCTAAAATGTGAATTTCATGAAGTATTCTTAGGTCAGGGGTTTAGATGTAAGGGTGGGACCCTTATAATCATATATTGAATATGCATAAAATCTTGGTTGTAGTAACATAATTCATTAACTATGTCAAATAAAAAATGGATATTTTAGTATTAAAAAAATCTTCTCTGCTTCTTGATATTACGTCGAAGAAATGAGTACATAGTTATGATGAACATCATAAGCTGCAATACATGTAGCTGCAATTAGATGCAATGAGCATCAGCGTTTCACAAATACATCTTGTTTTAATGCAGAAATAACTTGTGATGTGGAGTCGATTGTTGAACCTCACATGGTATTACCAGATAAAAGTATTTTTCATCTGAATGAAACTGCGAATATCAATTGTGATGTGGGATATTTACTTCATGGATTAAATCCAACGTGTGGAGAGAAAGGATGGTTCTTTTCAGGAATGAATATGTCTTGTGATGGTTAGACTTTGATGTTTAAAATATTGCAGATTCATTGCTTATTCCTTTTGCTAATTAAATTGTGAAAAAGTATTTTGTTCTTTAAAATATGAATACATGTATGAAAGTCTTCATAATTTAAAAGTGAGGTGAGACAACTCGACAAATATATTTCGAAAAAAATTCTCAGTTTTTCCCCAGTGGTCTCTTTACATATTACTTTAACTATCATAAAACTTTTTAAGTTTAACTATGTACTTTCATTACTCGAACAAGTATTTAAATATTGGTTTTCCCATTATTTTCATTTTTTTGTTAAAACAAATTCACAATTGGATGATTTTTTAAAATTCAAATTATCCATTGTATATGAACAAAATTTCATATGAATATCTACAAAGCAGTATACAAAGCATTTTTAACTCACATACACAAACACACCCTTACATCCACTCACACATATCGAATTAAACTGGAATTATAAGGGGAAAATTGAGACTGCTTTTAGAATTCACTACATCAATTGTTAACCGATCATAAAAAGCAATCATCAAAAACAGACATAAAGGCATTCAAATGATATTCAAATCAGAAGAAACATGTCAATTAGATTCAAACATCTTCTTCTATGAGCCCCATTTTTATATATAAAAAAATAACAGCTTAGAGTTATTAATTGATACACGCCTCTCAATGTTATATTTCATTTTTAAATGATTTATTAGAAAAAGAATGTTTGACATTTTACATTGTAGTATAAGCAAGTAAAAATATATCAAAATAATTGGATGAATTTCATTACATTGTTTTAAAACAGTCTCTTTTGTACGTTTCAGCAATAACTTGTATTGTCCCAAATATTACCCATTCAACTGCCCATCTTCATAAAGCATTTGACAACAATGCTTTGGAACTTTTTGAATATCAGGATACAGTACGCTATGAATGCGACAAAGGATACAGTATCAAAGATCTGTCAGAAGTCACATGTGGCCCAGATGGAAACTTGCAACAAAATATAAATGAAGTTCGTTGTGAAGGTTGTTTCTTTCATCTATGTTTTGATGACATTTTAAGTTTCATATTTAGATAAGGTAATTTACGACTGAAACTAAATTCTTGAGAAGATGCCATACTCAGGTTTCTTTTATTATTAATGCAATAAACCCCAGCTACAGAGTCCTGTATTCCAATTTTATTATGCATTGGTTTATTTTGAAATATTTTGGAAAATCTTTTTTTGTACATTGTACTTACATTTATTTTTGAACGAAGCCTTCCAGGTATTAGAATTGAAATTAAATAAATAATGAATTTTAAATACATTTTTTATATAGTTTTCACTTCAATCAAGTCTTGTCAAAGGCTTAAGCATAACAAGACAATTAAGCACTTTCACATAGATTGAAACATCTTATCAGGTGCATAAACATGTATCTCTACAAACTTCTAAAACATGTAATGGGGGGCGGGGTTAAACTGTGCGTGATAATAGTAATGTTTGGGTTAACAGTATGACATCAAACGAGAATGGCTTTACTTTAATTGTGTTTCCCTTATAAATATGTTTTATATGAGTTTGTGAAATAAATATTTAAAGTTTGAAAAAATTCCTTCCGAAATTAATCCGAGTATGGCATCTCGTTAACAAGTCAATATCACTTTTACACAGATCAAAACCTCATTATCAGGTATCGCGTCTCTACCCATCTCTGCCGAATTCTTTAACACCAAGCCAGTTTTCCCCCATTCTTTTGTAGGGACATGGACACAGTTTCAACTGAATTTTTAAACCAAAATTTAATGTTTACAATTCCTATCTAATGCATCATTTATAATGATCAGCAAATATTTGAACATCATTTGATGATTAACAAACAAGATAAAGAACTTAAAGTTATTCATAATGTAAACAAGGCTCGTGCCTTGTTTATCTTTACATATAGAAAATATATTTATACCAAAATGAAATTCAGCAAATCACTAGAAACTGTCTGATCGTATTTAGAATTAACTTTTTTATTAAAATTATCTGCGTTGGACAAACATATATTAGTATATGAACATGTGTTAACAAAAAACATGACACTGGCCATGTTTACATAACAAAGATTTGGAGCTCTAAATCTGTCTTGTATCTCGACAACTGAAGTTTAAATTTTTGATGATCATTAGAAAGACCTTAGTTAAATACTGTAAAAATGGAAAAAATAAATTTGAAAATTCTTAGCTGAAACTGTGTCTATATTCCTTTAAAGCTAATACGAAACAGTTCATAACACATTTTACTTTTTAAACATAAAGACTGGTATTAAAAATTGTCAAATTACGTCTAGTAAAAATATTTTGCAGTCTATTTTTAGTCATTTTGGGAAGCAAAAACATTGAATTCTTAGAAACAATTTCAAAGATGTATATATTTGGGAGGGGTTGCATTGTACATAAAAATAGCAATTCGGGCGAACAATATGACGTTAAACGATTATGGCTTCACCTTAAAATAGAAATAAATGGCATGTTCAATAAATTATCTTTGCAATCTCTCTTTTATAGTTATTAGATGCCAAAAACCATATCTTGGTAAAAACTTAAACATAACAGACTACAAGGAAGACTACTCTTATGAAGAGGAAATATACTTTCGGTGTGAGGGTGGTTTCCGCCTTCGTGGAATAGCCACTGCCATGTGTGGCGATGGCAATAGGTTTAATATTACAGAGATTCCGATTTGTGAAGGTTAATTTTTTTCCAAAATAATTTTGGACATTTTTTTTTCTTTTTATTTTCTTTCATCTTATTTGTGTAGAAATATTACTTTAAATGAAGTAATTTTCATAAAAGATTTTATTGTTTGTGCTTTATTTTTACTTCAATGAAGATGATGCCATGTCCAATCATTTAATTGTCTCCACCCTTACACTTGGAGCATCTGTAGGAGGTGGAATTGCCTTAATGCTCATCTTATTTGGATTGTTTGTGTGCATTAGGTAAATTAATCACATATCGTGTTTGCGACAATTTTAATTTGCGAGCAAGAGAAATTACATATATATTTTTTTTCAATTTTAACGACTTTCAACATATTGACCGGTTTACTGTTGTCTTTGCAGAAAGAAGTATCGTGGAACTAAATACGAGAAGACAAAGATTAATACAATGGAGCAGCATCTTTACACGGACATTATTCATAACAGACAGACAGTTATGCAGGATAGGGAGCCAACTTACAACTACATTAATGGCAAGTGTTTATTTTCTTTATAAGTATCCATTAATCTTTGCAACGAAGGTAAAAGATTAGATTATCAACGTCTTCAGTTACTCAAAAGTTATGACGCATTTCTCTTTTCAGACGTGGGAGTTGAAGGTCCTTAAC